CCCAAACTGTAGCCATAAAGCCCCACAGACTTTCCTCTCTTCATCAAAGTGAGCATCTCTCAACTTATGCTATGAAACACTGGTTCCATGGGATATTTATAGGAGTGAGACTTTCAAATACTCAAATATGTTGGGAAATGACGATAAAGTTTGTTATGGGTTGAATTTTGCAGCCCCCCAAATTCACGTGTTGAATTCTCAATGCCCAGTACCTCAGAGTGTTACCTAATTTGGAAATAAGGTCTTTATAAGGGTAATCAAATTCCAATGAGGTCATTGGGGTGAAGCCTAATCCAATATGACCAGTGTCCCAATGCAAAGGGGAAATTTGGACACAGGAACACACACATAGGGAGAATTCCATGTGAAAAAGAAGGCAGAGCTTAGAGTGATAGATCTCCAAGTTAAGGAATGCCAAAGATTGCCTGCAAACCATTGCAAGGGAAGAGGTATGGAACAGATTCTCCTTCACAGCTTTCAGAAGACATCAACCCTGCTGACACCATGATCTCAGGCTTCCAGCCTCTGGAACCGTGAGACAGTACATTTCTGTTGTTTCATCCACCTAATTTGTACCACTTTGTCATGGTACCTCTGGGAAACTAATACAGTGCCAAACGGCTTACTACAGTGCAAGACTTTTTCAGAGTCCTTCATATGCTAACATACATCTAAATCTCCAGAAGGGTTCAGAGCATCCCTAACTTATTCGAAAATGAAACTTTTTCCCTCATGGGAATGAGCGTTCTGAGGAACAAACTTTGCGAGATGTCCACCTAGGTCCCTGAACTCAGCTAAAGGTTAAAGAGGAGAATATGTAGTGAGTGAAAGTGTAAACAAGTTTGCCATAAATTGTGAATAACTAACAGCCATTACCCATTCCCAGAACATTCTCCTCCGCAAGGTGACTCTGTAATTGGCAGACTTTTAAGCCCTGTGAGAAGTTGAGTAAAAAATTGCCAATGGTGAGAGTAAGCATTTAGGGTGATAGGATGTTCCATTCTCTTATCTCTAAGTATTACCTTGACCCAGGAGTCATTTTATAATTTGCAGGACCCAGTGGAAAATTAAAATACAGGATTTCTTGTTTATAAATTAATTAGCTTCAAAAGACAGAGCATGAAGCCAAGATCTGGGCTCTTCTAAGCACGGAGCCCTATGTGACCATGCTCATGGAGCTACTCCTGCCTGGACTGGCCCAACATAATCCTTTATAATCTTATACTGCTGTGTGCTCATTGGATGAGTTACATTTAGAATATTTCTGTGTTGGAGGTCCCTAAGACCACCTCTAGGTTCAGGATTGCCTAGGAAGACTCACAGGACTCAGCATCTGGTGGTACTCATGGCTGTGATTTATGACCGTGAAAGGAAACAAAGCAAGATCAGAAAGGGAAAAGACAAATGGGCAAAATCCAGAAGAAACCAAGCACAAGCTTCCAAGAGTTCTCTCTCTAAGGAGTCACACAGGATGTGCTTAATTCCCTCAGCAAGGAGGTGTAACAGCTCGGGAACTGTTATCTACTAGAAGAGCTCATTAGAGACTTTGTATCCAAGGTTTCTTTTGGGAGTGGGTCATATAATAATCTTCTTCCTAGCGTAAACCAAAATTCTAGACTCCCAGGAGGAAAATGAGTGTTTAGCATAAACCATATTGTTTTCATAAGTAGTTCAGGCAGAATGAGCTGTTCTTATCAGGAAATGATGGGAACCATCCTGAAATCCAAGTTCCCAGGTGTCAGCCAAGGGCCAACCTTGTAAGCAGGCTTTTCTAAGGATAGCAGGGGATATTAGTGACATTAAACTGTCACCATAGACCTTCAGACATGAGCCAGAAAGATAGGAAACCATTTTGGTAGGACAAGCATCAGTCCTCAAGTCCCTGAATGAGCCTCGTGCTCACTATGGAATTGATAGCATTCAACAAAAATCTGCCCACTGAAAGGCTGCACTGACTTGATGTTCTGAACTATTGTTTGGCCTTCACAGTGATCACAGGGACGATAACTCAGGTTAAGCCAACTGTCCTGTAGTATTTTTGGAGAAACATGTAGGAGAAGGGGTCTGGGGTAATTCTCCAGATATTCAAATTTCTATTTATCCAGGTTGTATTTAGTCTTAATCAGTCGATATGAGGTTACTATTTTAGTATTCCATAAATGAAACAATCAGACAATTAAATATTCATTTTCAAAGGTAAATTAGTATTTAACAATTGCCAATTCAATGTGCAAGGAACGTGGCAATATCAACATTTGGTTTTTGCTCTCTAAGATGCCATGAATGTTGGAGAGTTTGGCCTACAGGAAAGGATACTGGGCTTAGAACTTGGTTCCTCCACTAAGAAGCTATGTGGCCCTGTGCAAGTCATAGACAGCTCTGAGCTTCAGTTTCCTTATCTGCTCAGTGGAAAAAATAACATCTCTCCTTCATTACAGAATAGGTATAGAAACCAAATAATGTAATTGAATTCATGTGGAAGTGGTTGGTAAACTATAAATCAAATCGTGGGGGGGGGGGTGATGCTTAAAGAATAAAGGAAAGTGACTACATTTAAGAAAGCCAGCATGCTTAATAAATGATGGCAATAACCCAACCCCATTATGGGGAGCAGTTACTGTCATTGTCTGCATCACTGATGGCGCAATTAACTTAATTAACACATACCTCTGTGGTGAGTCTGCTGAAATAACACTTTTCCTTTTTACATGCCCCTGCCTTGCCAGCAAGGCATCTCCAAGTTATGCATCTTCCAAGTAGGGAAGCCAGAGTGTGAAATGGCTTTGAGTTGGTATGCAGAAAACCGAATTCCAGAATATCCACATTGTTAGCTGCTCAAGATACCTAGAAGAAATAATAGAGGCTTCATCAAAATCTTGTAGAATAGGGAAAAAGACCAATGCGTCTTGAAGTGGAGGTGTGTCAGGGTGGGTTGACTATGACCCCATAGGGAAGTCGTTCTCATCAAATCCAGAAAGATTTCCCACAGAATAACATCCTGTTCTCCCTAAGGTTCTGACAAAGGGGCCTTTGGCCTTTGGTCTGTCATGATGGTGACGGGGATTTTTGACAAGTGAGGATGAGTCTGTGTCTACATGAGGAGCAGGTATATAGATGGGCTGCTCTTCCGTATCACAAACCCCTTCTGATAACCTTGGTTGAGTTCTATGTGGGACTGCAATGGGGAGACCTCAGATGAAGGGACATACCACTTCTGTCTTGGAAGTTTTCCACTTCATTCAAGTTCTTCAAAGTAGTTGAAAACCTCTCAGGAATGTTCCTCTCACTCTTTTACCCTCTCTTTTCCTCTTCTCCCAATTCCATGGATCCATTTGCTTTTATACCTTCTACCTATGTCTTCTGATTCTGTAGAGCCTATTTTCATTTTATGTTGACCATTCATTATACACTCCTTTACAATATTATTTGATTATTTCAGATGGGCAACTCCTCAGGGAGATTACATTTTCCTCTAGAGCCAACATTCTCCTGTATGTCCTACAACAGCCTAGTGGGGGGCCGGCGCATCATAATCTAAGTAAATAATTGTTGAATTAAATTTGTTTTCCTTTCTTTCTCTTCTCTCATTAGAAATTGACTGTACTAGTTCCACAAGATCAGCCGCATGGATCGGAAACCCGGTGTAACAGTGGCTTATATAAGACAAGTTTATTTGTCCCTCACATGATAGTATGGGGCTAGAAATCTGAGGTGGGCAGTCAGTTTTCCTCCAGGAGGTCATCTTCGGACTCGGATCACTTCTTTCTGCTATCTCTCCTTATTCGCACCTGCCTGGTCGAACAGCACACCAAGCCAGGAGGATGGTTGATGATGGAAAAGTATAGAGAGCGCCCCTCAGATATCCTTCACGTCATTTTTGTCACATCTCATTCATCGTATCCTGGCCACGTGACCATAATGGCTACAACGGAAGCTGGGAAGTGTAGTCTTTATTCTGGCTGGCCAGCCATCCAAAGAAACATCAGAGCATTACTAATATGAAACAGTGGTTTTCAAAATTTTTAACCACGACTCACAATAAGAAAGACCTTTTGCATGGCGATTCAATACAGGCACCATACATAAATAGAAATTAAAAGTGTTTTGAAACAATACTTACTCATACTCTGTGCAGTGCATTTTATTATGATGATTTTATCGTTTATAAAATAAAGGTGTCTGCGACTAATGAATGAAGAGTGGCCTGCGACCTGAAAGGCACAGCTATAGAAGGAAGAGAGAAGAATCCTAGGGGGCAATTAGGAGTCTCTACCACTGGGAAGGAAGCATTCAGTTCTGATCTTAGGCAAGATCATCTCCCCGCATTCTTAGTGGTGACTGTCACAATGCTAGGTACTGGATAGGCACAAGAAAATAAATAAGTCAACCAAAGCAATCAGTCTATGAATCAATCAAGCAGTCAGTGAAATCTTAGAGAGTATAGATAGAATCTCTCTACTGACACTTGAGGCAGAATATTGAAGGCTAGAGAGGACTTTTCACCAAGAGAACCTTTCAAGGTGGGAGAAGAGGAAATTCTTTTTGTCTCTTAACACAGGTTGTATGTAGATAAACCGCAAACACAAATATCCACCCCCATTGATCCTTCTGTATTTTAGGCTTATCGGATAATTCACATCAAAACCAAACTGGTTTCATTTTAATTCTTTGACATGGCCTCTAATATATGGACGGTGTCAAGGGCAACCTCATATTTTCATTATGATAGTATCTCCTAGACTATCCTAATTCACTTTTGTGCTCGAGTAATCTATATATCAGATTTGTCATTCTTTCCATAGACTTCAAATTTGAGGAAAACCTCATCTCCCGTGATGTTTTCTTCTTGACAGTTTCAACTGACTTTTGTCAGATTTTTGACAGGGGAAAATAAAACCAACAACTCAAAGAACATTACACGGCATTTGTTTTCAGAGCCACAGTTTTGGATGAGTTTGAAATGACTTTTAAATGATGTCACAATGGATGCTTTAAAACAGGCCCCAAATCCTTTGTGCTACAAGCACCGTTGGCTTAATTAGTTCTGGTGGGGGCATCATCATTAACTGCAAGCTAATTGCGTTAGTGGGCTCATACTACAGTGGTTCCAGAGATTTGGGTTTTGGTAAACAGGGCATTTCCATGGTGTTTATGGAAAGACGCCTGGGCAAGTGGCCTGACAAGGACAATCTGCACCACAGAGCCTTTGACCGCTGCAGCCAGGACCTCCGACCCGCTGACCCCTGGTTTCTGATTGCCTTTGCCACCTCCCTGCTTCATTCCGCCACCCCGGACCCAGTGAGCCTCAGTAGAAATCAGAAGTTTATGCTGTCTTAAAGGCTGCTAAAGGGCTTCTGAAGAAAAGAGTCAATGTTTTCATTCCACGTCCCAAAGCTCATCTGGATCTGCATCTGTGTTTGCTGTCTCCAGAGAGAGAGGCTAATTACTGGACAAAGCTGGGGATTAAGCTTCCCTCTTGCCCTTATGAAGCAACAGTCCCTCCGGAACAGGGTTTAGGACTCATTAGAGGAGAGTGGTGGAAAGAAGAGGCGTTTCTTCCCCATCCTTTCCGGATAAGGAGGACCGACATGTACAGGGCTTTTACTCCGGCACCTTTGACGATCACTAAGAAAAGCTCGCAAGTCCCCCGAAGATGGTCTACCTTTTGCCATATATTCAAGCACTAAGACTTGACAGGCACATTATTTCATCAGGACTGCATACCTTCGATGCATTCGGTGGCATAAGGCCAAAGTACAAATGACTTCAACGCTCATGAAATGCACTATTCTTTAACAAATGCATTAACATCTTCGCACTGGCATATTAGTATGAAGAAATGAAAATTGCTTGAAAACGAAGGAGGAAGAGAGATTCCCTAGGATAGGTTCCTAGGGGTCAGGCACCTTGACAGCCAATAAGAAACTACCATTTGCAAATAATGTTCAAAAGACATATCTTAATATAGTCAGCCTGGAAAAGAGCTCTGAAATCTGAGAGCAAGTAGCTCTTCCCCTGTCACCAAAGGGCAGATGTTGAAGGTACAGCAGTAGAAGGTGAGCCCTGTGTCAGCAGGTGCACCCTCACACCAGCCTTCCAAGTTTGGATGATGACTAGTTTCTCATTTTCCTAAAAGATTGCACGAGGTCTTGTGTGTCTATAAAAGCATTTCTAACACTATGGGGTCAATTTGGCTTTTAAAATTTTGCCTTCCAGGATGAAGGCTCCAGGGTAATTGTAATCTGGCTCTTCTAAATCTTTCTCTCCCAGAGAGAGGCACATTTCTAGATGATTAGAGAACTTCAGGTGAGAACGCTACTCTGCCTCTGGCTTTATGCCTTAAAATATGACCTAAGGCGAGCTATCATTTCCCAGAAATGAAATATGTCATATGCTACTATTAAAGTGAACTAGAAAAAGAGCATTCTATTACAATAATGGGTTTTGTGTTTTTTTTTGAAAATGTAAATGTCAAATCCCCAAAGGAATAATACATATTTGATACTATTATTGGTACGGCAATACCAGTAATTGCGTGAAGTACTTATATTTAGTATTGTTCATATAGTAAAGGGATTTTATGTAAACCTTTCAGTAGAATTATTGTGTCAGAGGAAAATGAGAAACAACATCACTCATTATTCATGCAATCAATATACATTTATTGGAGGTGACTATGTGTCAGTCATCAGTCTAAATGCTGAGGATGCCAGAGCAAGAAGAAGGAGGAAGAGGAGGAGGAGGAGGAGGAGGAGGAGGA